CGAAAATTCAATGAGAAAAATGAAAAATCATTCATTTGGCGGACAAAAATGAATAATAGACATATGCACATAAAATTATCACATATTTTATAGATATTTCATTAATAAGAACAATTTTTTACCCACGCCCACGTGCTTCGATATTTCTACTCAACTAACGTATCGCGATTGCTTTTAAAGAGTTCAAATTTTCTAAAATATTTTGAAGTATAAAAAAGACAAATTTTTCAAAAAGGTCAATTTTTTTAAAAAAAAATTAAATTCTCAAAAATCGATTTTTTTCAAGTTCTAAAAGAACATTGAATCTTTTTTAAAAGTTTTAATTTTTGGTACGGAAAGTTGCACCAATTTGCCTTAAGGCATGATGCCATTCACCACTAGTTGTTATTAACTTTTTGCATATATCATTAAAATCAACAAATATCTAATTTAAAAATATTGGACATCAGTTTCAGGAGGTGGTCATATATACATAGTGTCATAAATGTATGAATAGAAATTTTCAGATATTCGTACAATTAGTTCTGTTCTCCGTTGTAATTTATATTTTATTTTAAACTTTCTATAAATTATATGATTTAAATCAACAATACATTGAAAATCCAATTCAATTACTGTCTTTAATCATTTTGGACAGCAGAAATTAATGACTAAAATTGTAATCTGAAAAATATAATATAACTCTAGATGTAAGTGGCATTCAATAAATATTTGAGTTCTACATATACCAGTTCTACATGTCTATCTGTCGACCTGTCTACCTGCTTATTTGTCTATTCGTATGACTACCTATCTAACCTAGTTACTTGTTCAGTTAATTAATTCTGTTCTTTGTTGTAATTTATATTTCATTTTAAACTTTCTGTAAATTAGATGTTTTAAGTCAACAATGCATCAAAAATCCAATTTCATTATTGCACTTTAACCATTTTGGACCGCTACGTTTGCAAAAACTGTTAACAGCATTTTTTGTAACAATTTATTTTGGTAATTAAAACAGTATTAGTCTTATTTACAAAATTGTGGAATATAAAAAAATAATATAACTCTAGATTTAAGTGGGATTCAATAAATATTTGAACCAGTCTACATGTCTATCTGTCAACCTATCTACCTGTCTACCTACTTATCTTCCTATGCGTCTGACTACCTATCTAACCTAGTTACTTGTCCACCTGCCTACATTCACACTTCGCTACCTGTACATAACTTTTTTTATTTTTGCAAGAGTACCTTCTAGTTCCTTCGGACGAAAATGTTTTTAATAAACTAATTTAATAATATTTCGAATTATGCTTTTATTTAGATTTCGTTGCAAATATATGAAAAATGTATAATTCACATTTGAACATAAAAACGCACCAAAGCAATTCCAATGCGAGCTTAAAATTTTCTATATTTTTCGGCTTTGAAATTAATACTAATGTCATAAAAACCTAGTATTTGGCGTTGCATATACGAGGTGTGTTCAAAAAGTACCCGGAATTACTAATAATTAAATTTCGCGGGTCTGGAGTGTCTGATTGTCAAAATTTTTTTTTTATTGTGTTGGTATACATGCCCCTAAAGTATGATGAAATTTTCAGCTATATTCACTGTTTACTTTGTCTGTGGTAGTCGCTAAGGTTCGACGTGTTTTTCTGAGCTCGGCGATTTTTACAATGGAAGAATTGAAAAGTCAAAGAATTTGTATTAAATTTTGCGTAAAAAATGAAATAAAGTGTTGCAAAGTGCAAAAATTCACCAGATATGGCTCCGTGTGACTTTTACCTATTCCCAAAGTTGAAGAGACCCATGAAAGGACGGCGGTTTTCCTCGATTGAAGAAAATCGCTGAGAGTGCTCAAGGACATATCAAAAAGTGAATATCAAGGGTGCTTCGAAAATTGGAAAAAACGCTGGCATAAGTGTATTATATCTGGGGGGGACTACTTTGAAGGGGACCACATTAATGTAGATGAATAAATAAATATTTTTTTGAAAAAACGAAAATTCCGGGTACTTTTTGAACAGACCTCGTATAGTGATTTTCAAACTACTTATAAAATGTATAGTTTTTTTGCGTGATTTCGTTTGATAATAAAAGTGCTGCTATAATATGGTATTGAACTAATAAGTCTTCCTTAGAGTCCTGGTTTAACTATATGATGGCGGAACTAATGCAAATCAAAATGTACAAGACGTTGCCACAATTGTAGTCGGAGCTACATCTCAATCTGACATTTGGTCAGCCAGCTAAGTTATAGAAACAGTCAGTCTAGCAATTCTAGTAATTACGAACTAACCAGATGAAATAGTTGAAGGGTTGGTTGCAAAAGTTATATCAAGTATGAAGTGTATTTATGTGACGAAATAAGTTATTATCACATAATTGGAAACTTAAAATTAACAATATAGTAAAGTACAATATAATAAAAAATAATATAAAGACCATGGGTATTGTAATAAAAATAATTGTTGTAAAATTAAACCGAAATTGAATCAGAACTATTACAAACATTATAATAATATGAGGTCATACAATTGAAAATAATTATTTTTTACAGAAATTCAGAAATATAATAATTTTAGAGAATATGCTAATATTCTTTATATAATAAGAGATTAAAAATAATATTTTCAAATAATGTTTGGAATATCCTTTCTCTTAATTTTTTTTTATACTTTATTCAACAGCAATCAGAATTTACAAAAATTCAATGAGTAATTATGCTTATTTTTGCACTCACTCACACAGTAAACATACTCACACACAGTCATACACACACATAAATAAATTGGCTAAATTATTAAAAATTACAATGGATGCCACTTCATTGAGTGGTCAACTAATCTGGCTGAGGTATATATCAAAGGCTGAGTCTGTTTCTCTTAAATTGAATCTATTTTGTTGTCATTGATTTCAATGTTGTACAATCATATATAAAATTGACGTCACTAAAGTGACTTAAGGAATTGATAATTTTTTTTTTCCTTTTAGATCTTATTCTTAATATTTCATATATCATCAAAATTACTGAATATCTTCCTTTTTGTAAAGGCGGATTGTAATTCAAAAAAGAGAATAATGAAAAGTAATTTTTTATACTCTGAAATTGTAATTTTGTTGGTATATATTTATTGCTATCGTTATGCAATACATATTTTTAAACACTCAAATTATTCATTGGTGATCGTATGGAGTTAATATGAACGTGACAGTATGGTACGTGCCTAAAACGTTAACTAATATCGATTATCTTACACAAACAACATTTTATCGTATTTTGTTCCACAAAATTTCAGAAATTCTTTAACGTTAGTTATGAAAACAATAGATTATGTTATGAAAAAACTATTTCTTTTCGAAACTATTAGCCTCCATTTTCATCTTGGAAACTTGGAAATAAACTGTTAACAATGTGCAAGTTACGAATTTTGTGTTTTTTCCTACATTTCAGTTATTCCCTGTCGTTTGTGGTAAAATCTCAATTTACTCGATAATATATGCAATAATTATTATAGTTAGAAATATATAGTACAAAACCATTATAGGCAGATCCGAGTTTAATTGAAGAATACTTAACGGCACTTCAGGGAAATCCGAGTTTATCTGCAGCTGGCCAAGAATTTCCAATGGTATTTTATGGAAATCCGAGTTTACCTCAAGTTGGCCAAGAATTTTCAATACCAATTCAGGGGAAACCAAGTTTAACTACAGCTGGTCAAGAATTTTCAAATGCTCTTCCACAAACATTTGATTCACTCTCAGCGACAACTCAAGGCGTTGGACAGATAACAAATTCAATTGGTATTTGATACGTTATGTAATACAATTTTATACATTTTTTAAAATAATTCCACCGACGTATGTGACTCTTCATTATTTTATTAATAAATTATTAATTATTTCCATACAAAAAAAGATTAGTGATTACGCACAAAATGGCACAACTTCAAATTCAATTATTTTTCAGGTGGTGCCACAGGCATTCCTGGAGCACTTCTTTCATCACTTAGCGGTCAAGCTGACGCCGGCATAGATGTGCAAAGGAATGCACAAAATTTGGACGGTTTAGTTGATGGTTTAACGGCGGCATTACCAGATAATTTATTACAAACAGCTGATTCTGCACTACCGGTAGTGCACAGTGTATCAGGAGGAATAGCAGGTGCAGTGGTCGGAAGAGCGGTGGCCAATTTGCAAGGAGGCAGGTTGGGCGGTACTTTAGGAAATGTGGTAAACTTGAATGGTGTAATAGGAATTGTTGGTGCTGATGGAGGAGGTGCAAGTGGATTGCTTGGTGGACTACTGTAGTTGAAAAGGCTTGATTTTTAAATTAGTATGATTACTAATTATACATGTATATACTTCATAAAAAAGTGTTTGTGTATAATATATTAACAATAGTATAATCGCATTACAATCTAAAAAATATAAAATATTATATATGTTTATATTGTATTTAAAATAAATAACAAAAGTAAAATCTAAATAAAAAATAATGATTAACTACTATGCACGGTTGTATCTATCTGAATAAATATATTACTATTTTATTGATAACAATATTGAAAGCATAAAAAAACAATAAAAATAGTAGTGTAACGTGTAAGACTAATGATTTCTTATACTGCGTAACTATATATATTGAACTTTTAGTTAAAACATTTATATAAGTGATGTTTCTGCTATGAATAGCATAATACGTTAATACGTTGTATAGTTGACCACAAATGCTACGAAGTCCTTGTTTGTTAAAATCAAAACTATAAAAATGTTAGCCGTCTATATAAATTGCCTATATAGGCACCGCAATGATCAAAAGCACAGTACCGACATTACTTACACAAACCCGGTTTATTATTATATAATCAATACATGATATATATTTAAAAGCTAGGGCCTTTGGTCAGAAAAGTTATTGAACTATGGGTAAAGTTTTTATAGTTCAATCTTCGGATGATCTTTTATTATGAACATATTTATTGATTCCATTGAAGTATTTCAAATGGAAAATTTTAAATACATTTTGCGGCAATGAAACAAATGATTTTAATCACATTTGGATTAAAATCGAGATGATTATTTTGAATTTCTAAATTTCGTGATGAATCGTTATCTGTACTGTTTCCATTATAATTTGAGCCGTTTCCGTTGTCATCTGTGCCGTTTCCGTTGTCATCTGTGCCGTTTCCGTTGTCGTCTGTGCCGTTTCCATTGTCGTCTGTGCTGTTTCCGTTGTCATCAGTGCTGTTTCCGTTGTCATCTGTATTGTTTCCGTTGTCGTCTGTGCCGTTTCCGTTGTCATGTGATACGTTTCCGTTGTCATCTGTACTATTTCCGTTATCATCTGTGCTGTTTCCGTTGTCATCTGTGCTATTTCCGTTTCCATCTGTCATTGATTTTGCTACTTGAGGAACGACTTTCTGATAATAGTCTAAGGCATTAGTCCCCGCATCGCCACCACTTTTAGCGCTTTCGAGAAGTGTATTAACAGTACCAGCCATGCCCGTCAACCCTCCAATCAAATTGTCGCTTGTTCTGAGTTATGACATAATGAATAATTTGAACCCGAAATATGTCAGTAAAATAAAATAAAACAATAATTTTCAGCACATTACATTTTGCGTATTCGAATACAACCTAAATCTTATCTCGTATTCTACTAATTTGTATGATTGTGAATCTACCATCTTTAGCATGAAGTTGCACAAGATGATAAATGAGATTTAATTCGTTAGATCCAAACTTTTTCAATTTCTCGATAGCTCTGTGTAGCTTAATTAAATTACCTAGCAGTTGTATCTTGCTTATCCGGATTATTAGTGGCAGTATCCGCAAGCATATGCCCAATTCCACCTAGACCTTGAGACAAATCCTCACCTCCTGCCCCCAGTCCATGACCGGCTTTCATAGTATCTTGCATACTATCTGCTAAATCCTTAGCTGCATCCTTTGCAGTCTTTTAAAAATTCATACTTGAGTTGCAACTTTTTAATATTTGCGAAAAATAATGGACCCCACAATGATTTGTACCATCACGTTTTATTTGTACATTTTACACGTAGTATATGCATAGTTTATACATTTCGCAATATTTTTAATTATCAGCATTAATACATTCCAATAGCAATATAATATAACACAAATTATATTTATATTTATATTATATATAAACAGATATTGAGAGACATAGTATTTTATTGACATTTGAACCATTTGATGACTTGTTCGATGAGAACCAATAAACTGAATTGTTCCGTAATCAATCATGTTTAGAGCTTAAACCAACTATTCAATTCATAAGAGAATTTTTTTTTAAAGAATTCTAATATTAATTGGGATCGTTGTAATAAAAAGTAAAATCTGTCAGTTAGTTACTGAATGACGACAAATAATTAATGAAAAAACTTTCAGAAAAAATACGAATTTAACGCAAAAAAAATTCAAATCGAAATTCAAATTCAAAAAAATATATCTTAGACTAAAAAATGAAAAGAATTGGCTATCATAACCAATTCTTAAATAATAAATTGTTACGAGCAAAATGATTAAGTTAATGCTTAACTGATATGTTAAAATTATCCGTAGTATCTGTTATTGAAAACTATTAATACTTATAATTATCCTGAGTATAACACATTTGATAATTGTACACAAAAAAAAATATTAAAAATAGCAATTATAATAAACTCACTTCTTTTTGCTGTTCGGATCCACAAATTAGCAGAGAAATTATCACTATTACTGAAAACATATTAGACTCAAACGAAATTATCGAAGTTCAACATAAAATTATTGATATGAACAAATTCTTGATTTTTTATGCTTATATATGAATTGAAAACAAACAATTGATTGAAAATATATAATTTGAATTGAGGCATAATTAGGCACTCGTTATGTATTTAAGACAAAATTTTTCAAATAAATATTGAAATTTCGGAATGAGAGCAGAACACAATAGAATTAGCAATTATTTGTTTGAAATATAAATGCATTTTGCTTTATTAAGATAATCAAATAGATTAATATTTGAAATTTTTGTTTACTCAAAAGAAGTAGCCCTGAAGAAAAAAATTCCAAGTTGTGACATTAGTATATTATCATCTCAATACTATAATTCATTTATAAATTCAGATGCTATATAAGTTTTTCTAAAAGTTTGATATAAAGCAAAAAAAGTAGAGTAATTATTTTACAGTCCAAATGTGTGCGTAAAATAATATATTTTATTTAAATAAATTTGAAATAAATAAATTGTAATTATTTTGGTTACTAAAAGAAATAATTTGTAATTAAATATATTACGCATTTATAATTGTTGTTGAAATAGTAACGATATTTTATTGTTTTTAAGAAAAATGTCAATAATAAAAAGAATAGTACGATCGTAAAAGCAACAACTGCAATATTGACGATTATTATAAACAAATATCTTATACAATTCATACCATACCATACGATTCAATACCATCAACAAGTTTTTCCAAATTATGAACAAATAAAAAATCCTAGGTATCAGTGGTATCTTGCTTGAAGGCACCATTCAATACCATGAACAATTCTTTCCAAATTATAAATAAATAAAAAATCTAGGTGTCAGTGGTATCTTATTTTAAGAATCCATTCAATGCCATAAATAATTCTTTCCAAATTATAATTAAATAAAAAATTGTCAGTAGTCAGTAGAATTTTGCCTTAAGGCAAGTTGCTTGAACTCGCCGATGCTTGTATATGAAATTTATCTATTCAGAATAATTTTTCAACTGTTTATTTTGAAAACAAATTTTTCACTAAAAAGTGCAAATTCCAAATTTTTCAAATAGGCTTATAATATTATATGTATATGTAATTATATCAATTATAGTGCACAAACATCAGTTTATGTGTTCTAAACGTAAGGCTCATATTCAAATTTTGTGAAATTTTGTACCTATGATAGGCCTATAATATTTTAGAGTTTTTGTTCATTCCATGAACTTTAATACCATATTAAGTTGCATTAAACACACCAAAGTAATTTTATTATATTTTGCTTACAGAGAAACTATTCAGCACGACTTTCTTTTTGAACGTTCAAAATTAATTCATAATTTTGGTTAAAAAATGAGCAAAAAACTTGCACCTTTCTGCTAATTATAAATAAACGGCCTGGTGGAAACTTAGCAAGTCGGATTATCTGGCAAAAACACAACCAACTCCTTCGGAAAGTTAATAATATTGGTAATACTTAATATTCAAAAATAGCTTTAATAAGCAATAAACCAATAATAAATTAATGTTTGTTACAATTATTCACAATTATGCATAATTAAATTAAGGCGATAGAATAGCATGAAGATAATCTCTGAAATTGAACTTTTATTTTTTAAATTTATGGTTGTACCATAATAGGTTATAGCACATAGAATTTTTTTTATGTTAAACTTTGAAAAAGTCTGGATTCTGCGTTCCACAAATCATCGAAGATATTAAAACTGTTGTAATTATATTGTTAAATGACTTTATATAGTTTTTAACAAATAAATAAATAAATATATTGCAAAAAATGTTTATACGCATATATATTTATATATATATATATATATATATATATAATATATATTTACACACATGTTTAAATTTTGAACATACAATATTTCCCAAATATGCAGAAACATATGTGCAAAATATTTTCACTGATTTGGTCTTGATTAGTGTTTATTTTGAATTGATCTCAAAATTTAGAAAACTTGAATCAAAGAAAACGATGCATTAGGTTTTGTATTTATCTAATAAGTTAAAATAAATAAGTATTTTCTCTTTAATAATCCCTGATTAAAGTAGTGATAATTCAACTTATTAATTATTAGGCATACGAAATCAAAAATCACATTCGAGGTGACAAATTTGCAAGCAGGCAAATTAGGTAGTACTCTAGGCAACTTGGAAAACTTGTATGGCGCAATAGAAATTGTTGGTTGTCGGTGAAGAAGATACGGGTCTGATTAGGTCTGATTTGTAAATTCCGAGAAAAATTCGATAATACATACATAATTACTTCTACGGTGTCATATTCCAAATGAATATACATTTTGAAATGTTGGTGTATAATATATTAGCAATAATATATCATTACAATTTAGTTATTGACATATTAATATATGTATGCATGAATAAATGAACATAGAATGTAATGATTAACTATACCTACATACGCTAACTGATGAGTTAAATTTTCAAGCATAATTTCGATTGCATCTGGCTGTTATATAGATAATAATTAAGAAAATGCAAAATAGCATTCAAAAATAATATAAGCAGTAGTAAATCATGTATGAATAGTACAACAAAATGATTCCTTGATTTTTTTAGTTAAAACATCTATTTCATTTATGCTTTCACTTTGGCTTGTGTATCACGTTTTACGTTTGAATTTTGACTTGACAATCGACTTTTTTAAAAAAAATGTTTCGAATTTTTCTGAAAATTTAGATTTTTTTCAAAGCAATCGCGCCGTGTAACTATTTTATAGACAAAACATAGAAGCGCATAAGCGCCATATCAACATTTTTCTGTAATGATCCATTTAATAATTCAGTTTTAAATTATATTGGGATGGAAGTTGAGATGAATGATTAAATTTTAGTGAATATAATTTATGACGAATCATTGGTGGCATCTGCACTGTTTCCGTTTCCATCTGTTATAGATTCAGCTACTTGAGGAATAACTTCCTGATACCATCCTAAGACATTGGTCGCCCCATCCCCTCCGCCCTTAGCGCTTTCGAGAAGTGTATTAACACTGCCTCCCATGCCCGTCAACCCTCCAATCATATTGTCACTTGCTCTGAGTTAGTAATTAATAAATAATTGTAAATCAGTTACTATTGTTGATGATTCGAACTAACGGTATATCGACGAAAAAAATAACACGTAAAATTTTTAGAAAACTTCTTTTTAAAGTTTTGTGCACAAACTATTTTCGATGTATCGTAACTGGTGACGATGACACACTTTCCTTATAGAGCAAAATACAAATGGAATATAAATTTATATAATATAGTTGGAAGAAAATAGCTTTGGTAACCAAAAAACTTTCAACCAATTAGATCCATCCTTTACATATTTCTCAATAGCTCGTTAGTTTATGTAATTTACCTAGCAGTTGTTTCTTGCTGATCTGAACTATTCGTAGCTATATCAGCAAACATATGCCCAAATCCACCTAGCCCTTGAGACAAATCTTCACCCCCTGCCCCTAATCCATGGCCAGCTTCCATTGTACCATGCATACCGTCTGCTAAAGCCTGAGCTGCACCCGTTGCTTTCTTTTAAAAATTCAGGTTTCAGTGGTTTTTTTTTTAATAATTGTCATACGCCTTAAGATAAATTAGTTGCAAGGAATAATAGACCCTCTCATTTAATCCACTTAAGAGTTTGCAGTTTTGCACAAAACATTATTATTATTATCATCCTTATTACTTCTGAATAGTGGTACGCAAGAGTTCAACGTTGAACAAATGTAACACGAATTCAATTAAAGTAGATAGAGCTAATGTCCAAGCTACATTAAAAATTATGTAAAAGATATTGTTTTAGAAAAATAAGGCTGATATTAGATATATAAAACATCATAACTACATAATTGTCAGTTGAAAACATAATCTAATGGACATGTGATAAATTTTTTCACAAAAATTGGAGCAAAATCTGCTCCAACGTCAAACCGACACAAACCAAGAATGTATGCTAAATAAAAAACTAAATTATGTAGAGTTTGTATAGTTTTTTGGTTTAATGTGAATCTGTAGAAAACAGATGATATTAAAGAAATAAAAAGTAAGTTTTGAAATTATGGAAACCTCCCCAATTGTGCCACTTGTGAAATAAATATATTGTTGAGGATGCTCAACTACTTATCAGCACCAACCGATAAAAATATAGTTGCTAATTTCTATAATTAGCATTTAGTTTTTTCTCAATTGTTTAGCTGGAGATCTCTATTAAAACAATTAAGTTACTTCAAAATATTTTATTACTTATTGAATTTTTCAAATGTTTTGCTAATAAAGAGTAAAATACAAATTAGTTTTATAATCTCCTTAGATGCTTTCAATAATTAATATAAAAATTTGTGCTCCATCCAATAAAAACCATAAACTAGTTTAATCTATAACCAAGTTTGATTAACCAAGACATTTTCACCGCTTAAAAGATTCTAAATTTAATTATTAACGCATTTTCGTGCTGATGTTTCAACACTTCGAACTTTTATTTACTATAAGGTACTATACTTGATATAAATATGAAATATATATATATATATATATATATATATATATATATATATTCTTAATTTTTTTTTATTTTGATTTTTATATTTTATTTTATTTTGATTATTTAATAATTAGTAACGCGTTACTAAAAAAAAAATTACTAAAATAAAAAACTGTTAAAATTTTGGAAGATTAACTAATAGTTAGTCATTGTCATCAGTCATTGAATTTTTAACATTGCAACAAATATTATGTTTCAAAAACTAAGCCATTATTTGCCCGATCTTTATCTAAAAATAAAAATCAAACGAAAAAACTTTAAACCTTCTAAAGCGGCGTACGATGTGATGAAATATTTTGTTTTATTAATAGACCGCAAAATACAAAGAAACTTCTTAAATAATTAATTAAATTTCGGCTACTGACAATAAACTAATAAATGATACTTATATTAAAAATTAATTATCAATTAATAAAGAATTATTGCGAACCAA